CAAGACTAAAACCGGGACTAACCCAGTCCAGGACTAAACCAGGACTAAAACCAGAACTAAAACCAGTGATCTCATATATAAAGCATTTCTCTATCAATAATATTTTTAATATGGTTAAGGAAAGACTGGACTTTTTATTGTCTTTAAGTAGACAAAAGTTATTATGTTCAGATTTCCTCATCTTTGCTACTTTACAGCAAATAGTTTCTTATTCATGGTGACTTGGGCTCAACAGTCAATTTAGAGACATTTGTTAAACAATAAATGACTTTATAAAGTCACTTTTTTTTGTTCTATATCAGTCTTTTGATCTGCCACAATAATGTAATAATGAATTTAAATGAAAATACCTCAACTTGAAGGCTTTTCTCAGCATTTTTTAGGTGAGATTAAAAAGAGATTAATTAGATTAATTAATTACAGATCATAATTAATTAATCTCTCTTTTTTTTTTTTATCGCATGACAGCACTAATTATAATAATTAAACATGTACTTTTAAATATGTAGGGCTGTAGCCAAGACTAATTTCCATCCTTAGTCCTGTACTTCATGTGATTTATTACTGCATGCACTGACACATTGCATTCACATTTAGTTGATTCTAATTCTATCTAGACCATACTGTTCTGAGGCGTGAGGTTCAGCTATTTGGCCTGTGATATAAAAACAGTCCCCTCTAACTCCTGCACCTGCATTGGTTACAACTATTTGCTCCCCTGTGGTCCCCAAACAGGCTGGGGGGCAGAAATCTCATTCCAATAGCAGCTGTGCATAATAAATGACATAAAGTTCACTTCAGTGCATCGGCAGCGTGGCAAGCTCAGCACATTTCAAATAACTGTATAGAGTGTCTTGTATGAGGAGCATTTAAAGTAGCAGCAGAATTAGCATCAGTAGCCGTAGTATTTGCTGAACACCTAGTTTGCATTTTGTTATGAAAACTCTTCAGTCTCAAATTCATCTTTTTCAGACATTTATTTTATACAAGTGAATTTTGCCATCGGCACCCACCTGTTCTTAGTGATTTAGCTGTGTCCTTAATGCACTCCTTGGAAATCTTATCAATTTAAAAGAGAACACATGTGGTTTTCAGATGCTGCCACGCTACACCCACACACTCGCAATAACACACACTCACCACAGAGGGTGCCAGAGGTGTCACAACCGGCACATAAATCACAGAGAGCAGTGTTTCCAGATCATCCTCATCTTCAGAGCTTAAGTCATATAGGCTGATGCAATTATAGATGTAATTTTTGTTAATTGTTTTATATAATGTGTTCAGATTATGCCATTGCACCTCAGTCAGTAAGAATTTGTTAAGATATTTTATAGGCGCCGTTTTATGTAAAATTTACTTTGATCAGCTTTTAACTATAGCTGTGTACCCTCAACATGTGCTTACTCAGAGTGGTATTTTGTATTATTTGATTTGTGCATGTTTGAGTAATCCTTAATTGTCCTGCATTTGAGGCTTAAGTGTTCAGAAAATTCCAGTTTTAACATAAAAAAATCTACATAGTTTAATACTAATTCTCCAAAATAGCATATGTTTTCTTTAAAGACAGGTGCTTTTTGGGTTTAGTCGTAAAGCACAGATGTAAAATGAAAGAACATGCAGAAAAACATTTGGCAAACTGTCAGTGTGTCAGATCTTGCATATATGGACCCTGCTACATGTGCGCTGCAATTAAAGCTCTTAGAATTTTAGATTTTAGATGACAATTTTATCCGTTCAAGTGATAGCAATAAGCAATTTGCTTCACACTAAAGGCTGAAAAAGTCCTCAAAATGGTGTCCATAACAGAAACGCTTAATCCATGAATACACTGAATAAATGACATTAATAACTTTTCTGATAGGTGTTCCATCACTTGCTTGTTTTGTGCTATGATCTGGAATGTTCCACAGTAGGTCTATGGCATTAATCCTTTCCTGCCTTTATATGTTTCCATATTATAAAAAAAAAATGTTTTATTGCTCAAAGAAATAAATCTAATAAAAAGCTGTAACTCAACCTGCACCATCTTTCATTCCTCCACTGAGACAGTTCAGTTTAATGGCATACTGTGTAACATTCCGGACCAGGGATGTCTAAACTTTTTTCACCGAAACATATAATGAGAGGGCCCCGGACTGGTTATCAATACGGTGGATCCGTCAGATGGGTTACATAGTATTAACAGAGTCGCCGTACCTTTTAATAAAGCTTGAAACATTAATTTTAGGTCCAGATCACAGTACAATGTGGCGTTATTGAGGTTATAGTGTTACTTAATTTTGTTTTAAAAAGTGCTGCCTATGATTAATTGGATCAGTTCAGCAGAAAGCCTGGAGGCCAGTAAAAATTGGTTAGACGACTGCATTTGGCTGCTGGGCCAGTTTGGACAAAGCAATAGCATCTTCACTGGAGCCAAGCAGGTGGCAGACTCTTCTCCAAAAAAGTGACATAGTACATCATTAAACTACTTGCCCCCGATAGCTCAAAACAAGTGCTGTCATAGAATAAGTAAATAGAGAAAATTGGCCTGCTGAAAGTGTGTGAAATCTTCTATGACTCCTTGATTGAGTTTATCTTTTTCCTGTGAGTTTGTGTAAATAAATCAACCACTTAAAGGGGTGTTGAGCAGCAGCAGATAGCCTTTAAGCTAATCGTCTTCTAATGAGTGTTTATATGAGGTCAGTAGATTTGGCCCCAGTGCCTTATAAGCTCGTTAGCTGCTGTAAACAGTCCGAGCATTGTGCTAGCTGTGTGTCTGACTCACTCTGGGACAGTAGTGGGCGACTGATCCCACTTGTTGCCGTCATCAAAGGTGGATGACACGTCTCGCTGCCATTTTGTTTGTTTCATTTTGTTTTATTTTTGTTTACTTCTTCGTCTTCCTGTCTCACTTTGGCACTGTTACGGGATTACGTGGCAGAAGATATGCACACGCTTGTGTGTGGTCTGTCTTTATGCGATGCGTTAATTTCCTGTATTTTGTAACTTAATTGTGGCAGCTTTCACACTTTACCTAACTTAACTTTTACTTTACGTTACTTTAGCTTTAAACTTTACGTTTACATTTCAAACTAAACAGCTCTTAAAGTGCTTATGAACCTGTCATCCACTTAAAGGGTTGATATTATACAAGAATTGCTCTTGTGAGCTTTAAGCCATGTTATAATATTGTTACCTCATCAAAACATATGTTTTATTCACAGGTTTCAGTAAATCTATATTATATGTATTAAATCTATACTATATATATAGTCTGCCTACATCTCCAAAGCTCAAAATGCTCTGTTCCACCTTGTGATGTTATGCAGAGTTAGTTTTCAGGTTAAAAGTATCTTTTGTTCAATAGAGAGAAAGGCAATTCCAGGGCTGAAATTATCCAAATGATTTTAGTGAATGTCTATGGAGTTTAAAAACACAGATGAACGGTTGCTGTATTAGCACATAATATCATAAAGCGGAACAAAGTGTTTTCTGTTTGGGAGAAAAACTCTGGTTTGTGTGTTAAACATGTGTGAATGAAGCAAAACACAACTCAATGTTTTTAATGAAGAAACAACATTATTACATCAGAAAATAGCGTAATATGGGCCCTTCAAGATGTGAAATGCTGCTTTTGCTATGTTCATCTGTTCTACGGTTATGCATTCATTATTTTCCACTTACATCCATCTGGCACTGGGTTACTGGATTCAAATTGGACAGTAGCCAGTTAGTCACAGGATGGCCTCAGATAATGAAGAAGACATTCTTGCTTTTGCCTAGAATCTGTTTGTTCAGTTTTTGCCATTTATCAAATTTGTACACATTGTCCTCATTTTGTAGTTAACAATACCCAATAAAGGTTCCTCTTAAAATTGCTATGTGTTTGTCGTGAGGGGTAAGTCACTTGCATGTCTTCTTGTTCTTGCATTTAATGTAATGTTCCATAATATGTCAGTAACTCGTCTCTCGCGCGTAAAAAAAAATCCCTTAGTCCAGGTAGAATCCATGGCATGGAAAAATTACTTTGTCCCCTGGACAAAGGTTTATTTGGTCGAAAATGTTTTGCAGCTCATCCAAGCTGCTTCTTCAGTTCTGGTGAAAATACTGGTGGACACTTCCTTATATCTGGCTTGTACCAACACAGATGAGAGAGCAGCACTGGACCTCAGTCTGCCATACATCTCCACCTAAATGCCACGGGCCAGTCTTTTGAGGACAGTCCTGAAATCTTAGCCAGAGAAAAGAATTGGTTTGAGAGGGGAGTTAAAGAAGCTGTTTTTGTTAAGAAAGAGAACCCTTCTCTTAACAGAAATGGAGGACTCGGACATCATCTATCTCCTCTTTATAACTCCATCCTCAAACCTAAATCAAAACACACAAGAGAACAATAGGTGTAGCCAGGTCAGGTCCAAAGGTGTGAAAGCACCCATTATGGCCCTGAATGGTTGTGCTAATAAGATCCCACACTCAGTGTAGTTCAATAGGCCTCGCTAACTAACAGAAACTGTAAATAAGTAGGTGTGTTAGTTTCAGAGTAGTTTCATTGTAGTGAGCTCCTCTTTTCAGCCAGATATAAGAAAGTGTCCACCAGCATCTGACCAGAAATGAAGAAGCAGCTTGGATGAGCTGCTTCTTCATTTACCTATTTGACCAAATAAACTTTTGTCCAACTGACAAATTAAATTTATCCTTTGTCATCTCTCTTGCATTTATTCAATAATGCTAATGGTTAAGGAAATATGTCGAAAAACATTCCTTCTTACAGTGAGCAGGGCCGCCTCTCCAGAGATTTGACATGCAACTTGGCCTGGTGCCGACACTACCAGGTACTAGGTATTTTGTGGCCCACTGTAAGAAATTCCAGGCAAAGTAATAACATCTCCATGGAGACAAGCAGATGATGGACCCTCTGCCAGAGAAGTTACATAATTCTTCTTTAACATAAGTGAAACAAAAAAATTAAAGGACTTTAAAGACTAATAATGATTAAAAAAAATTATCTGCTTGTCTTTCAGATCCCATTCTCTCTGGTGCAGTTTCCTCTCTGGGAATATTTAAAGGTAGGTACTACTTTTTAAGATGTTGTGGTTATATGTTCTTATTACTTCTTAATAGTATTTTAGTATTATGCCTGAGAGACATGTGGTCACCATTCAATCATTCTGGCTTTTATTTAAACCACTCATTCCAAAAATCATCTTAAAATTAACCACAGTTCTTGTTGCTTGTGCCTATTTACTATTCCAAATCCGATCGTCATTGTGGGGCCGGGCTGGCACAGTTCCTCCTTGGCGAGGCCTGGGCACATGTGTTGGAGTGACATCATGTCTTAAGGGCGCAAGGGGCGGACAGACAGACATTTCTTCTGTGCTATGCAGCTAACGGGCAATCACAGTGAACAATAACCACCACAGCTGTGTATGTGTGTGTCCAATTCTGCTGTCCACAAGTGTCTCTTTGTCCCCGAGTCAAAGGGCCTCTCTCTGTGGGCCATCTGGACACGTCCGTTGGCGGAGAGCTGGACTACTGCTGGAATCTGGTGCTCCTTCCTCTCATGCTCCGACCAGATGTACAGTGCAGTCATCCACTAAATGAGCACACGGCTAATCAAGTGTGCCCCCATTATCAAGAGTGGAGCCACTTGGTTGGGAAACTTAACCAACCAGGGGCCTCCATGGTTTTACTACTGTTAGATTGTTAAATGTGAACTATGTAGCTTTTTGGTTGAGGTTCCATCACCTTCTTGTTTCTATGGATATGCCATTGCTCTGCCTGGAATGTTTCACAGTATGGCATTAAACAGCTCTACCTCACATTTATGAAATTACAGGTGGTTTTATAGCTCAAAATGTCTAGGAAAAACAGGTTGCCTCTCCACAGATCTGACCTGTAACTTGGTTTGGTTTGGTCTCCATGAAGCTAGAAAGGCTTAAAACCATACTGTGAAACTTTCCAGACAAAGCAATAAAATCTACAAGGAAAAAAGCATCTGTCGGACCCTCCACCAGAAAAGTTACACAATGCACCTTTAAAGTTTGCAAAGGCTGCAAGCAGAACACAACAATATGGGATCTGAATCTTTTGAGTCTGTTTATGTCAAAGAGCCATTCAAAAGACTGGCTCTTTTTCCTCTTTATTTATATGACAGAAGCCAATGTGAGAACTAATTTTATCTACAAACTAATCATAGAGAGAAATGACCAGGACTCAGATCTGTTTAAATGGTTCAGACTGAGAGTGGAAGTGTGTTTACCCTTTCAAATGATGAAATTCTAAATAAAACGCTGCACTACAATGATAATGTATATATTTTTAAACTGTTATTATGTGCTGTGCTGATTCTTGTATTAGCTCAGTGAGCGTAAATCAGTATAAAAAAAATGCATACAAATTGGAAAGAAATTCCATTCGCTTCTTTAAAAAAATTAGATGTGACTGCAACCATTCAAATTAAAGAATTGTTCAGAAAATCTAACTCGCTCACAAACTTCACATCATTAATTGACAGAACATTACACAATATAGGGGAATAACTAAGGGACATGATATGTCCCATACCCTGTTTTTAATAACTATGAAATGTGAGATATTTTCATGTGCACTTATGGACTTTATTACAACTGCAATGAGGAGTAACAGCAAACAAGACTTTCAGATTAAGAGCATGACGTCCACATGGGAAAGTCTCATCTTTAATTGTGCAAGTATCTGCTCACAGTTATTGTCTCGTGTTCGCACAAGTGAATTATTGTCGTAATTCTCACAAATTAATTTCACAATGCAGTGGTTTGGCTCTTGTTTTTCCCAGCAGATGGAGAGTGAGACTGTCTTGCAAAAACATTAGCAAACAGGAGGGTGTAGCATTTGTGTTATGACAGAACACCAAGAGAGAACCACAAAGAATTTAATGAATTTAGCATCAAGGCATGATGGGAACTCAGGATTTAATTAAAGTTTAGCCTTGTTTCACCGCCTGAATTAAAATCAGTAATCTGAAGAGCACCCAGACGGTATGTAATATCACCTCCTTCCTGTGGGAAGTGGCCCAGGTGCAGAGTCTAACCCTGACTCTTGGGTTCAGAGGTCAAAAAGTTTGTTTTTGCAGGATGTGCCCTTATTATTTATTCATGAAACATAGAGGACGGCTGAGAAATTCAGAAAGACAGAAGAATCCCCAGTGCGAGACCTTTTGAAGTGGAAAACAAAATCTCCTTTTTTAATCTTTCCTTTAATGGAATACACATGAGGCTGTGTGCATACACTGGCCAGCTTTCTTCTTCAAGTAGACTTGTTTGTGTGTTTGCATCTGTTGTACTCACACACACACACACGCGCACACACACACATGCTCACACGCACACACGCTCTTTGTGATGTGAGTGTGTGAGATAGGGCTGGAGCGTGGTAACATGCAACAGATTTGACTCTCCAGGGCCAGCGGACAAAAACAATATTTATAATGGCTCCATGCTGTTGCCCAATGGTCTTCTCCCTCATAGGAACCATACCTTGTGCTGGGGTGGCACAGCTGTACTGTCCACATGCATGTCATACACTGGCTAACCTCCCAGAGTTACCAGAGTCTGCCCTGATAATATGAGCTAATGGGACTCAGTTAGGCCCTGCTCCACAACACCTCTCCAGCTTTGTACTAACTCTGCAATAACAAACACAACAGTGAGAAGGATATCCAGTTCAGCTCCTGTTTTCTTTATTTACTTTCTCTTTAGCACATGTCCAAACACAGGTCAGGCTGCTGCTTCAGGCTTCTGCAGCAGCCCCTATGAAAACCAAACATAGACAACTGATACGACATAGCAGGATCACTTACTTTATTGTGAAATACTCCTAATTACATTGAAAGTTAAATGAACAGTATGTAGCCTGCAAACTTGATGATTGATGATGAAGTTAAGTTACTACAATCTACTACAAACTGAACCTGGGCTAATTTGCCAATGCCTTAACCTGCATATAGAGAACACATACAAGTTCTTCATATTCTGAGTTTATGGACAGGTTATGCCTCATGAGAAAGCTCCTGAGAGAACCTCCAGAATTCACTCACTGAAATGCAAAGGCTGCACTATTAATGTCTGACTGCAGATCAGGGTGAGTCCTTCTAGCTTTAAACCAAATGAACACTGAAACTGGCAACTCAAATTTGATTTGAGTGGTTGGCTGCTTTTGTGGTTACCTGGCTCACGCACTGTGGCAGAAGATCTTCCAGAGGAAATACTTTGAGGTAATGAATCATTTCATCACCAACCAAAACAACAGAGCAGAATAAAAGTGAGTCCTTTCCTGTTGTGTTCACCTGGCTCCACTACCTGACCAGTCCTGTTAAACTGCACACAAACATTGACAAGCACAGTGTAAACGTTGCTTCACCAAAACTTGAATTTCCCTTGGGATCAATAAAGTATCTCTCTCTCTCTTTCTGTTTTCTGACTGGATAATCGTTTTGACATCAAAGCTGAAAATTTACCCAATGTTTTTGTAATTAGCAATACATCACCATTAATATTATCAGTGAAAGCTATAGTTGATTTGAACAAGTTTACCTCATATCTGGGAACACAGCTAGGTCATGTTTATGGAATTTACCCTTTAATTATACATATTATTCTCAGATAAGCAAAGCTCTACCAAAATTTATTTGAGTGTACGTAGTTAGTTTTCGGGTTAGGCCTGCCTTGGGGCGCAGGTGGACCATGTCAAGAATGTACAAATAAATAAAGTAACATTTCCACTCCACAACAGCTGACCTATGATTTTAAACAGCTACCAGTCTTTCAGCCTCTTATCAATCCTCTTTACGCAGTGATTAATCTGCAATGTACAGTCCAGTCTGCTCTGTCCGACCTCTCGTTCTTGGGAAATGAAACATGACATCACTGGGGAGAAAACCTAACACAAAAATAGCCAATTCCCAGACACGCTGCTGAACCTCAGAGCAGCTCGCAACGTATTTTCACAAAGTGTCTGCTATGTGCAACAAACTAACGCTCGCTCTCTTTCTCCCTCTTTCATCATCTCTCTCTATCAACCCTTTTCTCTCCTGACAATTCTCTCTGTTTTTTTCCCAGACGCTGTGGACGCGGAGGCAAGGTCACACGCTCTCCGCTTGGCAGTCGGCTGTGTGCGGAGCTGTTGCAGGTGCAGGGGATTATATGCTGCTTTGGGAACGATGAAGAGAAGGGGGGGAATGAAAGTTAGGAAAGGGAGTGGATAAGGGGATGGGTGCATGGATGGTTAGGTCAGAGTCAGCGGCCAAGAGTGCAGAGCGGGTTTAATCAGCGTTCTTATACTAATCCACATGGGCTACAGTATAACTAAGTTTGAAATAGGGCACATGTTTTTGATAATGTACGAGGTACGGCAGACAATGTGCTCTGGTAATTTTGTACATAGTGATATTGGAAATAACTTGAAAGTAAAACAAAAATGCACTGACAATTTAGTGATTTATAATAATGCAATAGTAGTCTTAAAAGTCCTATTTTACACAGACTGACTCTCATGAGCTTTAAGCCATGTTAGAATATTGTTATATCAGCAAAAAAACATCTGGAGTTGTGTTTTGTTTCATTCACACGTGTTTGAGTAACCCTGCATTATTGCTCCAGCTCAAAAAGCTCCGTTCCACCTTGTGATGTCAGTGATGTAGTGGTAGTTTTCAAGTTAACAGCAACCTTTTACCTTTTAGTTTAGCTCAGACTGGCATCTCTAGAGCTGAAATTTAATGATGAGTGTGTTGAACATGTGTGAATGAAACAAAGCACAACTCTAGGTATGTTTGTGATGAGGAAACATTATAACATAGGTCAGACAACAGTGTGATATGGGCTTTAACAACAAAATGTTTACTTTATTTGAGTAACTTTTCATTTTCATTTGTACTTTGTTGAAGTAGATTTCAGACACCATACTTTTACGCATATGTGTGTAATACATTTTACACTGTAACAATACTCTCGCAGTAAAAGTTGTGGGTAAATTTTCTGGAACCACTCCTTCAAATACGATTGAATTTTTGTGTTTTTTACTGTGGCATGCCACCCCCAGAAAGTTGGATACTGTATCTTCAGTGTTTTGCCATTTCATTTACATTAACTTCAAGTTATAAATTAGATGTTTCGACAGTTACTCCTACTAGAGTAGTAGTTTCCCCAAATATTGCTTTACTCTTGGGCAATTTTCTGGGACTGCTACTTTTTTTTTCTTTTAACTTTTTTTTATTTTGAAGTAACGTTACTCTTATGGGGATTATGGCTGCTCTACTCACCTCTGAGCAGGAGTTATAGTAATCACAGCTATCGTAATGTTGTAAAACACTTTGGTGCAACACAGCTGCTTTTAAACATGCTATAATAAATTGCCTTGGCTTTAACTTTATCTTTAATATTTTATTAGACCTCCATTCATCCCAAGTAAGAATTCAAACAAATCATGCAACCTTGAACAGTCAGCATTATTTTTCTTATATGCAAACGGTGCACCTGTGTTGGACGTGCGGAGCCTTCACTCTATAACTCACCCACTTACTCCACACAACCAGACAGCACAGGAAGCCCAGCAGCAGCCCCGGGGACAGGACAAATCTAGTGGTTGAAATGAAGAAGTGAGACAGACAGGGGATACGGCACCCTTAGGAGCTGTCGGATAAGGATACAGGAGATGGGCGAGGTGTTGTGAAAAAATAGACACACCATTTAGTTAATATACATTACAGTAGTAGTGGTAGTAATGAGGGAAATGTTATCAGAGTTTGAGGTTCGGCTTCTAACAGGGTGACGAATATAGGATCAGTTTCAAATGTCATGTCAGTTTAAAGGTGCACTATGTAACTTTTCTGATGAACAGTCTGCCACCTCCTTGTCACCATGGAGATTGTTATCGCTTTGACAGTATGGCATTAAATGTATAGAGAGAAACAGATCATGTGACCCGCTCACATTAAGAGTACATGCTTTGAATGTATTTTGAGCAATAAAATAGAATCAATATGATAAGTCTGTTGATACTTTGCAGCTGATGCCATCAACATTCCCTCGGGGTATGAAGCTAACTGAAAGCACTGCTCTGTTTGAAGCTCTGTTACTCAAAGTAGATTTAATTAGAGCTTTATTTATAACAATCTGACCAAAATAGAGCTGACTTGGTCACTGAAGTGATCACACAAATGTGCTGTTTATATAAATTTTATACTTTTTCTTGAGTTTTCAGACAATCTTAAAAAAAATAAAAAGTGTCTGTTTTTGCTAATGCGTGCATTGTGTCACCATGGTAACTGCTGAACATTCCGCCAATAAAGATACATGTAGAACACCCACAACATGATGTTACTGCAAAGTATCAATTACCGTACTCCAAAGCAATAAGCAAAGCAATAACATCCCCGTAGCAGCTGACCCCCCACTGGAAAAAAATTACATAGTGTACCTTTAACTTACACTACATTTCACACTCACCTTGGTTAACACTTTTCAAATGCTTACCTCAGCTTGTCATACCATCCTAAACACAGTAATTCAACCCTGTTTCAACTGGCCAACGACTCCGTTTAACACCAGATAGCATCACTTTCAATTTATCTCCAGTCAGATCACATGGCAGTTTTTCCAGCCAATTTTAGATCTTCAAATTCGGCACACCATGTGAGAAATTTATTGGGGTGATGTATCCTTTTTACTGCCGGGCCCAAAGATGACAAAATAGCCTGCATTAAAAACAGGCCGTATCTTGTCTCCGCCGAGTATAGCAGCACAAAATATTCATCATTATAAAAAGCAGCAGTGGCCAATAAAATGTCATGACGCGCTCAAATTCCATTGCGTTTAAATGAACTATACCTGATTAAAACGTGAAAAATATAAGAAATTAAAGGTGCACCATGTAACTTTTTGCCTGGGGGTCCGTCACCTGCTTCTTTCTATTGATATCTCTGGAATATTCCACATTATGACATTAAACAGTTCTACCTTACATTTATTCAATTACAGGTGGTTTTATAGCTCAAAAATACCCAGAAAAACAGGCATTCTTACTGTGAGTGGGGTTGCCTTTCCACAGATCTGACCTGTAACCTGGTCTGATTTGGACTCCTTGAAGATAAAAGGTTTAATGTCATACTGTGAAACATTCCAGACAAAGCAATAACATCACGCTTTGTGTTGCATTTTTTGTATGAAAAGCGCTCTATAAATAAAGTTTGATTGATTGATTGATCTCCATGGAAAAAAGTATTTGATGCCCCCTCCTTCAGAAAAGTTACACAATGTACCTTTAATTAATTGTATTTAGTTTTATTCTTCACTTACCTTCCGAGCACCCTAATTTTCCCATCCTAATTTTTCACTTGGATGAGTTTATAAACTCTTTTCACAACTTTCAGAAGCCAGAGCAGAGTCTTACCTTCACAGTAATGTAACTACTAGTATACTAACAGCACTTCCTGATAAATGGACATGAAACCTCTTCATCTGTGTACTATCCGTATCTACATGTGACTTATTTTGACCTCAAGAGCTGCTCATAAATTTGAATCTATTTTGGAAAGACAAATTTTGCTCAAAAACATGTAAAAGAAAATTGGGTGCAGTCCCTTTAATCCTTCATGGTGGCTAGTGTGGATGTGTTTACAGAGAACAGTTGCTATGATTGTGGCAAAGAGACACAGACAGGCCCACACTTTAACACTCACACACTCATGTTTGGCTCTCACAGACACTTCTGGATGTGGCCCGCCCAACGGTTTCCAATTTACAGGGACTCGCAGGGGGGAAGTCGGGGTGTAACTGGCCCATAAAAGCTCCAAGCGGGGATTGTATGGGTGAAAGGGGGAGGAAGTGTGTTCTGTCTGGTTTATGTGTGCGCATAATAGGAAAAGGTCGTAAAAAGGGGAATATTATCATTTTAATTTAACGCACGGCTTACAAAGGTTATGTACAGTGTTTGGGTTGCGACAGAGGTTTTTTGTATGAATAGCTGTGTGATCTGTGGTTAATAAAATAGATTCATAATGTTTAGTGCTGTTTGAAATTTGTAACTCATAATGCCATAAAGAATGATCAAATACTTGTACTTAAAGCCCCACCACATAACTTTTTAGCCACAAAATATACAAAAACAAAAGCATGTTGTTGTTTTTTTTAGCGCTTTATAACTTTGAGCGGGCTTGATAGTCCACAATACGGCTTAAACTGAAATACTAATATTAATATGTGATGTGCTACTACCAAAAAGTTAAGCAGTGATGCTTTAGTACAATTTTATAGTTACATCTACTCACCTGCTCTTTGTACAGTAGTGTTAGTAATGCTAAATGTGCACTGCATAACTTTTCTGGTGGAGGGTCCGCTACCTGCTCCATGGAGATGTTATTGCTTTGCCTGGAATGATCCATGGTATGACATTAAACAGATCAATCTAGCATGTATTCATTATGAGTGTTTCTGTTGCTCAAAAATACAATAATTCCTTATGTGAATAGGGTTGATCCTCCACAGATCTGAATTGTAATGTAACATAGTGATGTAACCTGCGTGTCTCCCTCGTGATAGATCTATACTGTGGAACTGTCACGTTGAAACAGAGGGAAGACCCGAAGTTTTTTAATAACAAACAAAAAGACTCAAAAATCCATAATTCCAAAAAAACAAAAATCGAAACTAATCTACCATGACATGACAAGACAAGACACTGACAATGCCAATGAACCAACCAAGGGCAGAGGAGAATACAGGGTATATATGCACACAGACACAGGTGAAACACTTAACGGTAGGGCAAACAATCGAAACAGGAAGTAAAACTCAAGCAGACAGGACAAATGTCAAAATAACATAACACCAAGGCACGCTACATGAAAGGAAAAAGATACACCAAAATAAGCAAAAACAACCACTCCAAAACATGAACCATGACAGGAACATTCTAGGCAAAACAATAACGCCTCTATGGAGACAAGCAGGTGGCGGACCCTCCACTACAAATATTACGCAGCACAATTCTAAAAACATTAACTCTGTACTTTACAAGTCAGTGCGTCTTTGAGCCAATTAGAACTTTAGAAAAAAAAGAATGTGTTGCAAATGACACAATGTCAGTATAAAATATAGGTAGCGGGTGTTGAATCCCCATTTAAAGGTGCACTGTGTAACTTTTTGGTTGGGGGTCTGTCATTTGTTTGTGAATGAATGAATGTTTATTCGGACAGTAATGCATAGAACATGCATAGAAAACGTAAATACATCAATATAATACAAAAATTAAAGCCTTGTTTTCCATAACAATAAAAAAAAAAAATGTCACGCAGATTTTCATTTGTCGGAAAAGGAGTGGGAGGAAGGAAATACTTATTTAACCCCACTGCTTGGTTTCTATGGATATGTCACTGCTCTCCCTGGAATATTCTGCAGTCTGGCATTCAGCAGCTCTACCTTACATTTACTTTATTACAGGTGGTTTTAAAGCTCAAAAATACCTTGAAAAACAGACATTCTGACTATGAGCGGGGTTGCCTCTCCACAGATCTCACCTGTAACTTGGTCCGGTTTGGTCTCCGTGAGGATAGAAAGGTTTTGTACTATACTGTGAAACATTCCAGACAAAGCAGTAACATCTTCACGGAGAAAAGCGTATGATGAAAGCTCCACCAGAAAAGTTACACAATACACTTTTAAGAATCAATATGAATTTTAAAAAATGTATTTTTTTTAATATAGCCACAAAGAGAAATGACTCATTTTAACACACACAACAGTCCGTCAGTGGCTTTTGTTTACCTCTCAGGACCGCAGTGAGACTAATGCAAGGTCTTATGCTTTTCTAAACACCTGTGTCTTTGTAGGCGCCGCAGCAGCATTTGTTACCACTCCGCTGGACGTGGCCAAGACCCGGATCATGCTCGCTAAGGTATACACACTCCCGCACACACAAGGAGAATACCACCTCTTTGGCACTGACTTTTAAACACTGCTGTCAGCTGAGGTGTCGCAGGCCCCAGTACAAAGCCAGTTTCACAGAGGTAGGACTGGGACAGTAGTGGGACTCAAGCTCTCATCACTCACCCAGGCTCCGGATCGTGGACATTACACGGGAGACATGTTTGTGTGTATGGTTAGTGTTAGCGCTGTGCTATGTGGAATTCAAGTCTCTCTTAGATGTGAGCCAGGAGGTCTTCTGTCTTCTGTTGACTTTCTGTTCTGTTCAGAGGAGTCTGGAGACCAGGGTGCTGAAGTTCATAGTATGAGGATCAAATATGAAAATTAGGGAGGCAAAATTACAGGTCCCATATTACACAAAACTGACTCATGTGAGCTTTAAGCCATGTTATAATGTACCTTCTCAAAAACACACCTGGACTTGTGTTTTGTTTCATTCACACATATTTGAGTAATCCTTTAAGTCTGTCTACGTCTCTAAAGCTTGAAATGCAAAAAATAGGCAATTCCAGGGTTGGAAGTTTCCAAATGATTAAAGTGAAGGTGTACGGAGTTTAAAAAACACAGTGGAGCCTTTTCTGTATTACCACGTGTGAATGAAACAAAACACAACTCCAGGTATGTTTGTGATGAGGACGCAACATTATAACAGATCAGAAAATTGCATAATATGGGCCCTGTAAATGCTACATAATGCTTTTCAACTGATGTTTTCTCTGTTTCAAAATTGTAAAGCCTACAAATGCACCCCATGACCCCATGAGTGTAAATTTTGGTGATGAGTTTATAAGCACTTTTCACAACTGAGACCAGTGTGGAGTTTTGCTGTGATGGAAACACACGCTGCATGATTATCGAATGCAGACAGAACGCGGAATGCTTATTTTGACTTCACAAGCTGCTTATACAAAATATCTGTACTGTGGCAAGACATATTTCACTCAAATATGTGGGAAAAATTGGATATAGGGGCTTTAAAGGTGCATTGCGCAACTTTTTTGGAGGAGGAGATGGGTGTTTCTATTACTCAAAAATGCAATAGTTCCCATTGTGAATATACACAGATATGACACTCCACAGATCTGACCTGTATAGTTGCGTATATTTGCCTCCCTTGAGAAAGGTAGGTTTAATCTCTACCGTGAAACATTCTAGACACAGCTATAACATCTCCATGAAGACAAACAGCTGACGAAACCTCCAAGAGAAAAGTTGCGCAATGCACCTTTAAGATAGATTTTTTTTTTTTGGAGATCATAGTACTAGTTAATAGTACGAAGATCAAATAATGTAAATTAGGGAGGCACAATTATGCTGCGTAATGCTTTTGTAATGCTTTTTCAGCTGGTATTTTCAGATGTCAAAATTTGAAAGCCTATAAATGTACCCCATGAGTTTAAAATCTGTTCTAAAGACTTGCCTTATTCTTGATTTACACCCAGTTTGGTATTTATTTAACCCTATCATAAGCCTTTACCCTTTAATCCTGCGTTTAACTCTAACCTTCACCTTGTAATTTAACTATAAATTGTGATCATGACAGATTTTTGTGTAGTTAAAACTTTAATTTATATTACAAAACAACAAACCCACATCTGAGCTGGAGTTATAGTAATCGTAGCTATTTTAATATTATAAAGCATATTGGTATTACCCAGTTTTAAATGCGCTACACAAAAAAATGCATGCCTTTAACCTTATCTTTAGAACATTATAAGTCGTGATTCATTCTAAAAATTCATGCAATTTTGAAAAAAAATTTTGCCCCTCTGTTGGACTCTTGCACCTTTCACTCTATAGTTACTCCGAACAGATTTCAGATTTTGCATTTGAACATTAACAACAAAACCACAAGTATTACTAAATTTCACCATCACATTAGAATTTCTGCCTTTTTAAATAATGTTAGTCAGATGTGCTACTATATTGGGTCCTTTGCAGTGACACACCCAACATCAATGTCGATCTTTAGGATTGCTTGACATTTCATAAAGGTCTTATATTACGCAAAATTGATTCTTATGAGTTTAAGCCATGTTGTTGTTACCTCTTCAAAACCATACCCAGAGTTGTTTTGTTTCATTCAGATATGTTTATATAATCCTTTGTTTTTAGTCTGTCTACATGTCCAAAGCTCAAAATGCTGTAGTTTTTAAGTTAAAAGCTACCTTTTTAAATTTAGTTTATTAGAGAAAGCAATTGCAGGGCTGAAATAATCCAAATGATTCTAGTGAAGGTGTATGGAGGAATATGCAGAGATTGTGTGACATGTGAATGAAACAAAACTCCAGATATGTTTTTGATGAGGAAACAACAGAGATCAGAAGACAATGTAATCTGGGCCCTTTAAACCACAGGTGTCAAACATACGGCCCAGGGGCCAGATCCGGCCCTCCAAGACCTTTAATGTGGCCCTCGGCTGATTTTCTACTAAAATATTTTAATTATATTTTCTATTAAAATCTTGTTAATTTTCTGTGGTGTTTATCAGAGCAGCGTCTCCAGTGCCTATGTACGTGGCCCCTCCCAAATAAAGACTTGTCTCTTTCCAAATGGTCTTAAAGGACGATCGTTTTGACTGTTGACCGTGACACCCTCATCAGCAAAATGTCAAAAATGAGAAAAGTGGACGCTGAGTGCAGGATTTTCCAAGAAATATTGACTTGTTCCTATTTACATACAAATTCGTGTTAAAACATTGTGTTGAAATTGTATTTTTCTTAAAGTTTCAGGTTGTTCGTAATATTATAATATTTTGTAAAAGAAAGAGTTCATCAATTAAAGAGATTTCTGTAATAGATTTGTGTTTCTCTGCACAAATATTTGAACTTATTGTTATTTTTGGGGTTTATATGACATGTGTTTTCTGATCCAGCCCCTTTGGGATCAAAGTCGGTTGGATACGGCCCCCGGACCAAAATGAGTTTGACACCCCTGCTTTAAACCTTCCTATCAGTTAGTCCTGTCCATTCACTGTGTAGCTTTGTCTTTGAAATGCTATCTCTTCTTTTCCTCCTGCTGCCTGACTTTTTCACTCTTGGCAGGCTCCACTGTACGTCTGGCTTCACTCACAGCGTCTTGTGAGTGGGTGTCTGTGGTAAGGCTAGTGAGTTCAGTGTACACATGGAGTGAAGACAGTGACTTGACAAATAGGAATTAACAAAACACTAGCTACAGTTGTGATCTGTTGTGTGCAGCTGTCCGACTGGAGGTGGAACAGTGCAGTACAAAGGCTTCCTGTAAACAGTGTTTGAAATGCAGCTGCTGTCATTTACCACAAGCAAAAAAGATATAGGCCACTCCAGCCAGACGCAGTTCGAACTTTATAAGGCCAGTTTTGTGATTCACCGGCTCACAGGTGACCTCGAGGATGCTTTCGGTATTGTGTGTTTCTATTAGGGTTATCAAAAGTGCTGAAAATCTGATAATAATCAATTCACAGGACAGAAATGAACCTTTCCTGAATAGTTTTAGAATGATCTTGAGCTGTATAAGAGCACATAGACTAGTATGCGCCCATGGACCACTGTGGAACCTACCTGGACAACTGAGGAATTACACAAATATAAGACTGCATGGTAATATAAAAGAAAGTACAATAATGTTGAAAATCACATTCTATTCTATCTATTCCATTCTAAAGGAAGAGTGTTTTTTTTATCGCTATTGTGATATCAAAATGGGTTTGAAGCAGAGGTGGAACCAAGTTGTAGTTTTGCAAGTCTCAAGTAAGTCTTAAGTCTTTGACCTCAAGTCCGAGTCAAGTCCCAAGTCAAAGACAGGCAAGTCCAAGTTGAGTCTCGAGTCACTGGCTTATAAGTCCAAGTCAAGTCCAAGTCGTCTGCTTTGAGCTTCAAGTCATTTCAAGTCTTTAAACTAAAGTACCAAATATAGCTTATTTTTGCTATTTGTATGACTTGATAAATTGTACTTATAAAGTCATAGATTATTTTTTATTTGAGGATTTATAGAGTATATAAAAGTTGTAGAAATGAATAGAATTAGAATAGAATTTTTCCTTTTTAAATGTCTTGACAAGGTCTTGTAGTGAATCATTACGGTCAGAATAGAACAAATTCAGATTTAAAAGTGCTTCTCAAGTCTTCTCAAGTCTGAGTCAAGCCCCAAGTCACTGATCTTCAAGTCCAAGTCGAGTCCCAAGTCTTAGTCCATTTTATCAAGTCAAGTCTCAAGCCTAAAAATAGTGACTCAAGTCTGACTCGAGTCTAAGTCACGACTTGCAAGTCCCATTTCTGGCTTGAAGTATCGAGTCTGTTCCTTAGTATCCATAATGAGTTTGAAATAAATTCTAGTAAAAAGGTATATGATTTGGAAAAAACTTGCATCCAATTCATAATTAGCTTAATGATTTTAAAGGCGCTGTACCTGATATTTACTGTCTTAAAAGGGTTCATTTGAAACTGTTTGCAGTGGTCTAGAGTTATTCCTTACTTCATCAACATCCTAATTATTCACCGTGATTAGTTTATAAGCACTTTTCACAACTCTCAGAAACCATTGTGGAGTTTTGCCATGACTGTAACGTTAACAACACTTGCATGCTAACACACTCTTCCTAATTATTGGATAATAAAATGTTTTCTAATTAGATCCAGACAGAATGCAGCAGGCTTTTTGACCTCACAGGCTGCTTATATCTGTACTTAGGCAGGACTTATTTTGCCCTAATACATGGGGGAAAATGCCTTTTAAGATGGATATGTTCGTTTTTTCTATTCATTTCTTGATTTTTTTTCTTGTTTTCAAATAATATTTTTTAATGTCAAGCAGTCACTAAAACCTTTTGAATGGACCGCAACATTTTTAGGCCTTGATAGATTTTAGTTCAGGTTATATTTAATAATGTGCGAACTGCTTTAAAGATGCACTATGTAACTTTTCTACTGGAGAATCTGCCACATGTTTGTCTTCACTTAAATGTTACTGCTTTGTCTATAATGTTGCACTGTATGCCACATGTAAGTTTAATAGTATACAAAGTTAAAACATCTCCATGGAGACCAACAGGAGCTGTGTACTCTCCACCACAGAAACACTGCGTATTGCGTCTCAGTGACCTCACCATTAAATCCTTCTGTTTGTTCTTATAATCCCCTGGTATTGAGATCAGAATTATTTGGGCTTGAGCCATGACTTCCAGATGTCTGTTCTGTTTTTCACCAAAATGCTGTCAGTCACCTCCCTCAGGGTTTTCCATTTGTTTTGTTTCACACCTGTTGAACATTTTTGCACTGTGGTTAAAGAGCTTTTTATTCTGTGAAATGCCCATGTTTGCATTTTGGTAATAGTTTACAAAATCTTATTTACAGTACTAGGCTAGTACATTGTATTACAAATTTATAATTGGCTCTGTGCGCCGTAGCATCCGGCTATAGTTCCAATCTCCAGGGAAACTAAGCAAAGCCATTTCTGCTCCTCTCTCTGTGATGTTTTTGCAGAGTCGTGCTAAAACCAATGAATACTGACAGATCAGCCTGTGGTCAGGGAGCTGCGGGTAGAAGCTCCCTGTACATTTTTTCACATGTTTGACACATGAATTTTAAAAAATGAAAGAAGACGATAGAGAGCATCATTATGTTCACCTTTGCAGGCCCAGGTTTGATGCAACATGGCCGATGGTTTAGGGTGGGGCGATAGCATTATTTTTTGCATGTTCTGACCATAGGACGTGCAAAAAAATAATGGGAGTGTGATGTCACCCATAGAATTCAGCTCCAGTCAAATGAAACCCACAAAGTTAGCAGTGATGTTCAATTTTTCATGCTATGTTAAATCTTTCAAGTAATTTAAAAAAAAATACTGGTCATGGGTATGTTCATTCTTGTTTACTACTTGTTTTTTTGTGATTTGCAACTTTTTTCTAAGCCCGGAGTGTCCAAGCTTTTTTCATCAAGGGCTGCATGTCAAAACACAGATCAAGCAGACAAAACGACTGGTGGTCAGTACAATAATAATTGAAATATGTGCATTTGTAACAGGTTTGAATGAGCCACCAGACCTTTAGTCATGCTTAGATCCTCAACAGGATGCACTAAATATTTGTCATTGGCTTTAACAAGATACATTTTCAGAAACTTGCAGAAAAAAGTATTGTTTAAGGTTATATTGTCCAATTCAAATGGAAGTCTGAGGGCCAAGAAAAATTGGTCTTAGGTCCACAGTTGGCCCCGGGTCATAGTTTGGGCAAGCCTGGTCTACGTCATATGCACTTTAAGTTCCATCTGCTACTGTATGTGGCTTGCTGCAAGTTAAGTATGAGTAATAGAAGTATTGAAGTAATAGATGCACTCAGATTTTTTCACCAGACAATATAACCTATATATATTCACATGAGACAAACAGTTTCAGACCAGTCTTACAAGTCCAAACAGGAACTAAGACCGCTGGAGGGGTTGAATCTGGGTGAGTGAAGGAACCTTGCATTTTGGTGCTTGTCACCTTGGATTCCTGTGCGGAGCTGAGGATCACATACAGACTGCTTTTGTACGCTCAACTTCAGCAGTAGGGCCGTAGCTGCTTACGGAGAACTAACTGCCACTCCAGGCTGTTTGGCAGGTCTCTGCACGGACCACACGCCTGTCACACCACATTTCTCTTGCTACTGTACAACACTGTGGTCAGAGCCTTGGCCACGGGTCTGCCTGGTGACTCACAAGTGGTTGGAATGTGATTTTTATATTTTGGCGAAAAGTCTGAAATTGCTGAGACATGACACTTAAGAAATAGAGCTTTTGCCTTATTACGTCGTTAGACCTGTCTAAAGTTGAAATATTTTAATATAATCCATGTTGAAGTGGAGTTGTGGAGTTGTTTTTAATCATAGTTTAAAGGGACTGTACCCATTTTTTCATATAATAAAGTTAAATTGCTCTTGCCCCTGTACAGCTGTTTTGTAAAAGCGGCTCTTGGGGTCAAAATGAGACTGATATGTGATGTCTGCATCGAATTATTATTATTATGTTTTTTTTTTGTTTTTTTTTCAATCATTCACCAACCAGAAAGTTACTCTTAGTTTTGTTGTTGATAGTAGTGGTGAGATTACAAAACTCATCTCTGAAGCTCTTTTGAATATGATAATAAATAGAGATAGATGCATTAATTGGTTGGTCAATCAATCAGGTTGATATTTATACTCTTTTGCTTATCAGCCATCAACCTTAAACCTCCAGCAGAAGCCGATATTAACCAGCTGCATAAAAATATGTATAAAGCTCAAATTGAACTCTTTAATATGAAGAGGACACTGCACAGAATGTGACTACAGTACTTATATGTATAGAGAGTGTATAGTAAAACAGAATTGTAAATGAGTTTGGAATAAGTTAAAATGATATAATTATGAGAGAATACATATCAGCCAACAAATAACGACATAGCTTATTGGCCATTGGTTGCTCTGGATTCTACACAATCTGTATCAGAATTGGTTGAGAAGGAATAAGTTTAACAATTTACAATGAACTTGTTTTGTTTTTCATGTTTTAAAGTGTAAAAATCAGGTATAGCAACTTTAAGACATTTCTGTTTCAGGTGCAAAAATTGTCCTATATATAATAGAGAATGGGAGAGCGTATAGTTGTCCGTCTGTAATATATAAATATAAGAGGTGAAACCAAAAACCAGGCTCTGCTCCTCAGGCCCATAACTGCTATCAACTCTAACTCACAAAGGGAATATCTGTGTGTTCTGGACTCTCCTTTTCTCCTTCCACCATTTCACAGCGGTAAAGGAAACTGGACAGGCAGACAGATGTGAGAGTCATTCCTCAACCACCTGTCTCCAACTGAAACACTGAAGCACTCAGATACGGGCGGGTCATCCCTCTTTCCTGTGAGAAAAAAATGATCAGCAATGCAATGGTTTTCATCCAAGCAAAGTACAATTTTGGTTGTGTTTATTGCACTGAAAAAAAACACACACACACACACAAAAACCACACACATTAGTCCTTATTCTGAGTGAGTTTGAGTCCCCACAAATTTGACTCTTAAATGGCCTGGAGGAGGGTCTCTTCCTGCTTGTTTCCATGAAGATGCTGTTCCTTTGGCTATAATTTTCCACAAATTGCGTACAACGTATCTATCTCCATGGACAATTTTCCAAAGTATGGTTTTAACTTTCTGGTTCCATGGAATCCTGCAGATTATGTGAAACCTCTTTGTTAGTGGTGACCGTAGCTGCCAAAATAGTTTTCCTTTTTACTAAGTCTGCAGTGATTTTGATTATAAAACTAGCTGGCTATTTAAAAAAAAAAAAACATATTTTGATTTTCCTTATCATAATTGTTTCCTGGATTATAAAACTCTAAAAAGTATACCTAAAAACAACTACAGTGGCATTTTTAAATCAAAATGTCAAAAAGACTAAAGGTCACCAAGGTCGGTCACCATATTTCTTGACATTTTATTTGCTTAAAAATGTGTTTTGAAAATCAACATTTACAACAGAGTTAATTGTTTGGCAGGTCGACTAGTAATAAAAAAATATCTCTGACTAGTTCACTATTAAAATAATCATTAGGTGCAGTTGCAGCTCTACTTTTTACCTAGAATTTGTCCAACAAAATTGTGTTGAGTTATATAGTCTTGCTTCTTTTGATACACAGAGCAACTAAGACAGACACAGGGATAACATGCAAATTCCACTTGTAGGATGGCCACAATAATATCATAAGTCATCTCTTCAGCTCAATATTCAATTATAGTGCACATTAGTGATGCCATCATACTAAAACTGCAAGCTAACTACTACTAATGAATATACTTGATACTTGATAATATTTCTGATACCACGATTATAATAAAAAATAGTCTTCAGGTAATAGAATGTGATTTTCAATGTTAATTAATCATAGCAGTTTCTTTTATATCACCATGTGGCCTTACATTTGTCATCCAGGTAGGTTCCATAGTGGTACATGGGAGTTTACTGCTCTATGTGGTTTGATCTTGAGCTGTAGCAAAACAAGGATAATTCTAAAGGAAAGGTTTATTTCTCCGTGAATGTGACTTTTTTTTTTTTTTTTTTTTTTTTAATTATCGATACCTGCTCAATTCTAGTTCGGATACTAATTTTAGTACTGCTTTTCTGATTTACAATACTTTCGACATTCCTGGTGTGGTCTTTTATACACTTTTATTGCGCTTGTGTAAAAGTTGACTTATGGCCAGGTTTGACTTGAGTGTACTTTGAGTAGCTCTACATCTGCCTATGTTGTTGAGGGTATCACCTGCTCGGACACAGCTGCCTTGAAGAGGAAAGAGAGGGGAGAGAGCACATGATGATGAGGAGGAGGGGGTGAGAAAGGAAGCTCATCGGAGAAAGACTAAACAGTGGCTTTGTGAGGAACAGGAAGAGCGAGACCATCCATCCATCATCACACCCCTATTTTCTCTTATGTCTTCTCCACAGCCCGGGTCCACCACAGCGAGCGGCAACATCCCCCTGGTGCTCTGTGAAGTGTGGAGGAGTCGAGGCTTTTCTGGGTAAGTACATCTCCTGAACTAGGGTTGCACAGTTTTGAACCAAAATATAATTGAGAAGTGCACATTGTTAACAACTCTAGGAGCATTATGCAAATTATGTAAAACAGCTTTTTGGAGCTTTCTACCATTTTATAATGTTTGTTATAACCTTGTTCCTCAATCAAAAACATGTCAGAAGTAGAATTATATGCCATTTGAACCCTCCTTACAGCTGTATCAGCCTGCACTTCTTGTATAAGGCTCAGTCCACAAGCCTGCATGAAGGGTAAGCTGTCTGCAGTGCTCCTGCACAGATATTTCATAAATATACGAGCATATCAGAACAGAATGCGAAACAATACACCACAACTTCAAACCTGATGCAGTGTGCAGTAGTTTTATCAGTGGGATGTACGCTGATTCCGTTGTCATAGCACTCTGAAAGGGGAGTGATTAAGCATGGTGAGCAAGGGGAGGGGGGACTCAGATCTGCAAAAATTAAACTGAAACTAATTAAACATTTTAAGTTTTCTGCAAATATAGCATTTTCGTATGTTATGTTTCAACAGTTAAAACCCAGTAGAAGTGTAATATCACCTTAACATTTGTGGAAAGGCTGAAATATGAGGAACTACTACAAGAATCCACACACGGGAGTCTGAACTATAAAATATTTTTCTATAATAGGACGGGCTATTTTGTTTATTGCAGAGGACATTCTGTTGTCCAAATAACTGCAGCCTTCACAATTTGATAACTGCACCAACTCATATTGTGATTTAGATTCTTGTGTTATATAGCGCAGCCCTACCCGCCACACCATCAACATTTCAAACTCATTCATCCAAAACCAGCCATGATAGCTTAAAAGCCAAACCTCTTTACACACCCCCTTATTTAAAAGCCCCGTATTTTACATGATTTGATTTAACCACAGTAATCACGTCGGTTGGATGATAGCAGGGCCGCTCTAGGGCAAACAATTTATAACCGCAGCTGAAAAATGAGAAGTATAAAAGCTTTTCCTGGTACGCTCCATATATTGATTAAGGTGTTCCGGAGGTCCAGTGGAGGGCTTTATTTGAGTGTTGTGATGTGTTTATGATGCACATCGCACAAAGGGACACGTCTAATACGTCCCCCGGGGGCCACCCACTACAGAAAATACCCCTAGTGACTAATATGTCCCCTTGAATATGAGAAGCAATCATTTAGGGGGAGCCTCATTGTAATTTCACTGGGGGTTTGGATGCTATAACTCAACAGTAAGACATTGCATCTGCTACATTGTGCTCATAGTTTGGCGACATTTTAAAGGTCCTATATTACGCAAAATTGACTCCTGTAAGCTTTAAGCCATGTCAGAATGTAGTTACCTCATCAAAAACATACCTGGAGTTGTGTTTTGTTTCATTCACACATGTTTGAGTAATCCTTTATTTTTAGTCTGTCTACATCTCCAAAGCTCTAAATACTCTGTTCCACCTTGTGATGCCATGAAGCTGTATTTTTTCAAATTGACCACTACCACTTACCTTTTTTCTTCTAGTGAAGGTGTTTGGAGTTTAAAAACACAATAGAGCACTTCCTGAATTACCACATGGCATCTCAGAGTGTTTTCTTTTTGAGAAATAATATGCAAGGTTTGTGTGTTAAACATGTGTGAACAAAACAAAACTTGGGGTATTTATTTAATGAGAAAACAACATTATAATCAGAAAGTAGAGTACTGTATTTTTTTTTTTACTATAAGTCACTCTGGAGTATAAGTCGCACTTTTTGGGGAAATGTATTTTATAAAATCAGAGACCAGGAACCGACATTTAATAACAACAGAACAGAGAACAACAAGCTAACGTAACATATTAACAGTTATTCAGGTAATTATAACATAAACAACATAACATAAGTTTACCAAACTCACAATCTCACTCCAAATCATTAAATCCATTGAATTCTTCATCCTCAATGTCACTTCTGCGCGACCTCCGGAGATAAACCATAGATTCATGATGTAAACAGAGCACCGCTTCCTCTTCTGTGTAGCTGTCGTCAGACTCAGCATCAGTTCCAGTTAGAATTATTCCAGCCTTTTTAAATCCCGACAGGATAGTTCCAGTTGTCATTGAAGTCCAGACTTTGTCAATTTATCCAGTAACTTCCAGGAAAGTTGCACGGCTCACCCGCCCGGTTGCCATGAAGCTGTGTTCTCTCTTTCCTCCAGTTCCTCACAAGTTTCTCGCTCACTCCAAACTTTCTTTCTGCTGCTCAATTACCGTTTTCAGCTGAATATTTCACAATTTGCAGCTAGACAGGCGCTACTTCTACAGGAGACATGCGCAGTAGAGTGTGAAGTGACAGTGGTACAGGGGTAATAGTAGTACTAGATACTGAAACACAAGCGTTAGAACGCCCTCTCATGGCTATCAGTCTGAAAATTTTAATATATAAGTTGCACCGGAGAATAAGTGGCCGGACCATGAAAAAAAAAGTGACGTATAGTCAGGAAAATAGGGTAATATGAGCCCTTAAAGTTAAATTAAAACATGTGAGAGTTAGGTGAAAATATTTGTTTTGAAATGCTGTATTTGTTTATTCATCTGCTTAGTCTATGCGAACGATTGATAATGCAACTCTTACGCCTTGACAGAACCTATCCGATCTGTATTGGAATCACATTATTTCATTATCGAATCTCCATGTGGGTCTTACTCATAGTCTGGCAATTCTTTATATAAATTTCCCCATCATTTCTATTCATTATTATTACTCATTTGTTCAAACTAACTGACCCATTCCAACATTGATCTCATAATGTCGCAATTTATGTACCTGTGATGACTGATCTATTCTTCCACTATTTTAGAAGCACATCTGGGTTCAGCACTCCCCTAGGAGATTCTTTAAAGGTGCACCATGTATTTTTTTTTTCTGGTGGATGTCCATCACCTGATTATTTTTCCTGGAGAACTTCCACAGTATTGCATCAAACTGGTATATCTTGCATTTATTCAGATACAGGTTAAAAAAATAAATTGAAAAGTGAAAGTAGGCTCACTTCTTCACATCTGACTTAAAACTTCCCCATGGAAAGTTTAATTCCAATGTTCAATACTGGGGAACATTCTAGGCAAAGCAATAAAATCACCACGGTGTCAAAAAATTGGCAGGCCATCCACTAAAAAAGTTCTAGTGCACCTTTAAATTAATGTTAACATCAACTTGTTGGGAGACTTCAAGTAAAATTAAGACTTCTTACAATAGTCAGGCACCAAACATTTTTCATACTACTTTGTACAGTACAGAGATTTAACTTTGGTCAAGACAGTTCCAAAAGTATACCATAAACACAGCAGCACCTTCAGGTTTACACTTTCCAGCTCAACTCCTGTCCTTTACTAAAAGTTGTGCCTCCATTTGTACTCCTTTCAAAATAAAACTTCTATTTTCTAAAATGTACATCTCCTTAGCAAACACTTTCAGTTTTAGGCCTCCTTCCTTGTCGTTTTTCTTGTCTAATAAAGTTGCTATCAGCACTCCCTTTTAATGTGAAAATCCTATTCTTTTGTCACATCTGTGTAACCAGAGAAGGGCCCAGCTAAGACTCAGAGACCAGGATGTAGAGACAAAGAGGGGTGTTTAGAAAGCAAAAGGGGCAATGGGAATGCTGCTTGCACCGGTGCATGCCTCATACAAATTGCTCTGGCTTTAAAGCTGTAATTATGGTAATGGAGCCAATTGCAGTGTAGTGAAGCTCTTAAGTGCTTCCATGTGTGTGCTGTGCCCCAGAGACCTGCGGAGCTCACAGCAGCCTGCCTCTGTAACCTGCAAACTACGGGGCACCACCATTCAAAGCAGCACAAGTCTTAACTGGCAACATATCCCCCGGGCTGGGTCTCTTAAACAAAAAGTTGCCTGTAATTTAACCAAAATTAACAGCCATTTAGAGCAAGTCACACATTCGAACACACTTTGCAGGCTACTGCTTAAATGAAAGTAGTGGTTAAAGGTGCACTATGTAACTTTTTGGCTGGGGGTCCGTCACCTTCTACAGATATGTCATTGCTCTGCCTGGACATTAAACAGCTCTACCTTGCATTATTTCAATTACGTGTGGTTTTATAGCAAATCAAAAATCTATAATACCTAGAAAAATGGCCATTCTGACTGTGAGTGAGATTCCCTCTCCACAGATCTGACCTGTAACTTGGTCTGCTTTGGTCTCTATGAAGATAGAATGGTTTAATACCATACTGTCAAACATTCCAGACAAAGGAATAACATGTCCATGAAGAAAAGCATCTGACAGACCCTTCACCAGAAAAGTTACATAATGCACCTTTAAGAGGAGTGTTTGTTTCAAACTTAATCTAGCACATGTAACCAGTCCAATGTGTATTACTCTGAACACACGTGTGCTGTAGTGCTTCAGGTTTAAGTTTTAACTGCTAAGTATCAGATTTTATTGTGGTACAGAGTTAAGTTTTGGTCTCAGCTTGTCATGTATGTGGTCATTAAGTTATTATGTTTAATAGTCATAATAAAACTATAATTAATTATGCTGCCACTACCAAACCAAAATGACTTGTCTTTTCTTGCGATGAGCAAAAATATATCAATTGTTTCAATGGAGGATTTTTTGGAGCCCATATTAAGCTATATTCTGATTTATGTAAAAATGTTGTTTCCTCATGTTTGGTTGAATTCATACATTTAACACACAAACCCTGCATATTTAGATTGAGTTCTTCCAAAAAACACTCCACCTTGTGATGTCATGTGATAATGCAGGAAGTGCTCCTTAGATAAGAAAATTAACTGTGAAAAGAATCACATGTGTTTTAGAGCATATTTGCAGTGGTCTCTATACTGCATGTCTTTCTGGTTTTATACTCAGACCTCAGTAGACAGGCATTTTTTTCTTTACCTAAAAACAACTGCAGATTTGATGGTCAGCAACCATACAAACTGCCCATATTGATTCTTGCTGCCCTATCACTATCTGTTATTTCAATATGTCTCTAC